TCTCTCTCCCTCTCTCTCTCTCTCCCTCTCTCCTTTCACCGGGCTTCTGTTTGGCTTGTCTTTGAATGTGTCTTCTCTTCCCAATTCAGCCAAGTAAGAACATTCTTCCTGATTTTGGCCAAGAGAAAGGAGAACAGATCTCTGGAGTTGAAAGGGGACTAATCTGGGATTAATTAGAGGGGATGTCAGCTTTGTGACATGTTAAAACACAGACTATCAAAGCTGGGAGGAGTCTTAGGGCACAGAATGTCAGAGTGGAGGTGAACAGGGTCCACTGAGAGTATCAGTGAAGTTTGAAGGGGCCTTAGAACAGGAAATATCAGAGCTGAGAGGGGCCTCAGAGCAGGGGATGTCAGGGCTGAGAGAGGCCTTAGAACAGGGAATGTCAGAGCTGTGAGGGGCCTCAGAACAGGGGATGTCAGAACTGGGAGGGGCCTCAGGACAGGGGATGTCAGAACTGGGAGGGGCCTCAGAACAGGGAATGTCAGAGCTGGGAGGGGCCTTAGAACAGGGGATGTCAGAACTGGGAGGGGCCTCAGGACAGGGGATGTCAGAACTGGGAGGGGCCTCATAACAGGGAATGTCAGAGCTGGGAGGGGCCTTAGAACAGGGAAGGTCAGAGTTGGGCGGGGCCTCAGAGCAGGGGATATCAGGGTTGGAAGGAACCTTGGAGAGCACCTAGTCTAATCCTTTATTTAAAAATTTAGTTAGTTAATGTCTTATTCATGTCTCCCTGAGGGAGAGGGAGGTGTCTTCTCCTGGTGGGACTCCATTCAACCTTCAAGGACTTATCTTATCTCTGATAGTTACTACCTGTATAACCTTAGGCAAGTTATTTCATTTCCCTGGACCTCAGTTTGCTCTCTTGTAAAATTAGGGGTTTGGAATAGATGCTTCTTAGGTTCCTTTGGTCTCCAAATCTAGGATCCTGGGATCTACCCATGGATGATGAAGGTGACCTAGAGTCAGGAAGACCCATCTTCCTGAGTTCAAATCTGACCCCAGGCACTTACTAGCCGTGTGACCCTGGGCAAGTCACATCACCCTGTTTGCCTCACTTCCTCATCTGTGTGGCATTTAAAAAGTTCTAGAGACACAGTTTCTGGGTAATTTAATCATTTTATTAATAAGGCTAGCATGTTTATTAATAAAAAGAGCTCAGTGGTACTCTTAAATGCCAAAGACCCCTCATGGCAGTGGGCTCACAATTTATATGCCCTTGGAAGGGCAGGTGCTCCTGAGGGTGGCAATGAGCTCTGATTGGTTAAGAATTAATGAGAAAATGGCTATTACAATAAGGGGCTGGGCTATATTCTTTTTTTTTATTTTTTAAAAAAATTTTAGGTAATTGGGGTTAAGTTACTTGCCCAGGGTCACACAGCTAGTAAGCACCAAGTGTTTAGTCTGAGGCCGGATTTGAACTCAGGTCCTCCTGACTTCAGGGCCAGTGCTCTATCCACTGTGCCACCTAGCTGCCCCTGGGCTATCTTCTAGTAAGGGTCATGGGGGTACGTGACTTGGACAACCCAGGTCTTGGTCATAGAGATTTATCAATTTCCATATTACCTGTCTGACAAAAGAGAGAATCCACGTTTTCCCAGACTTGTCTGAGTAAACACAGTGAGCAGGAATAGTCTTTGAGAAAGATTTCCCTGCGTGGGTTGATTTCTGGATGAAGAAGTAGAAAAGGGGAAAACCTTGATCCTGACTCAATAATTAGTTATTAATATGAGAGAGAAACAATCATTACGAGGATAATAATAGCCCTTGCCCTCCAGGCTGTAAGGATCAAATGAGAAAATGTTATTAAAGTTTTTAGCACAGTACCTGGCATACAGTAGGTGCTTAATAAAAGCTACTTGGCTGACTTATTGATTGAGAAGACTCAGGTGGGACCAGAAAACTGCCTTCAAGTATTTGAAGGGCTGCCCTATTTGGTCACTGAGGAAAGGTCTAGAGCAGGGGTGGGGAACCTGCAGCCTCGAGGCCACATGTGGTCCTCTAGGTCCTCAAGTGTGGCCCTTTGACTGAACCCAAACTTCACTGAACAAATCAAAGGGCCACATGTGGCCTTGAGGTCACAAGTTCCCCATCCTTGGTTTAGAAAGTGTGAGTGGAAATAACAAGAAGCAGGTGAGCTTGAAGTCAGGAAAAACCAACCCAAACCTTCCTAACAATCAGAGCTATCCAAATGGGGAGGATGGGGTTCAGGGAGCACTGGTCAGTCCCTCTGTGGGGATCTCAAAGCACAAAAGGTGGGATGAGCCCAGGTAGGTTACATAGCAGGACATAAGTTTGACTAGCTGGTGTCCTGAGGTCCCTTCCAACTCTGATGAGATTCTGTGAACAATTCAATTAAACTCAACTCACCAGATATTTATTAAATACCTACTGTGTGCCAAGCACTATGATCAGGGCTGGGGATACAGAGACTAAAAAAAAAAATTATCCTTGTCCTCAAGGGGGCAGCTGTATATCTGTGTATAATATTATTATTGCACCATGGATAGAATGCTGGGCTAGCTGTCAGGAGGACCTGAGTTCAAATCTAGCTTCAGACATTTACTACCTGGGTGACCTTAACTTCTGTTTGCCTTGGTTTCCTCATCTGTAAAATAGGGATAATAATAGCACCGACCTCCCAGGGTGGTTGTGAGGATCAAAAGAGATAAGAATTGTAAAGCACTTAGCATGGTGCCTGGCACACAGTAGGTGCTGTTACAGATGCTTATTCTTCCGTGCCCCCCAATCTTATGGACCCCTTTGGCAGTCTGGTGAAGCCTATGGTCCCCTTCTCAGAATAATATTGCTCAATGAATGAAATAAAATACATAGGATTACAAAGCAAACCCATTATATTGAAATATAGTTGCCAAAGTATATTTTTCTGAAAAGTTCATGGACCCCAGGTTAAGAACCCCTGGAGATGATCTTTGAGGTCCCTTCCAGTCTACATCTAGGCTACTATTTGTCCCATCGGTTGGATTGTAGCTCAACCCATGGAGCAAAGACCCTGAGCTCCCTCTGGTAACTTCTGGGGACACATGGGGCTCACCATCACCATTTTGGGGTGACGTAGCAAGCCCTGGGTGCTCCCTTGGTTCTTTGGCCTAGACTTCCTGTGAGGGAATGGGGAGGGGCAATTTGCCCTCTGCACCCTGCCAGAAATGACTGTGCTCACATAGCCGCTAAGGCAGGTATCTGCACGGGTGGGCCTGAGCCTGGGCTTTGAGCCCCTGGCTACCTCAGCTTTGTGTTTCTTTGTCTGAAGATGGGGGACCAAACAGGATCCTGAGATGGAGTTTTCTAGCAGTGAAAACAAACTTTGGACTTTGAGAGGTAGGGAGTTTCCGAGTCCTTCAGCTGAGACAGTCTGTGGGCTATCGGAGGTATCCCCTACATTCATTATAATGCTAATGGAGAAGATGGGGGGATGAGCTCAACCCCTCAGGAGGCATGGACCTCAAGGGAGATACTGCAGGACCCAAATATAATGTGAAATGCTTATTTAGCAGACCTATAAATGCTTCTTGTTTTTAATATCAACCTCCCAGTAGAGAACAAGAGTAGTTATAAGTTGCTGCTATAAATTGTTAATGATTTATTAATGTACACTTGTGAGTCTTTTATGATTTAGCATAGAGGAAATAAATAGCCGACCTATATCTGATCTATGTTATATATCTAGTACTCTCACCCTTTTGGGTAGACCCTGGACATGAATCAAAACTAAGCTTAGAGTGATTTTTCCCAGGCTCATGGGCCTGTAAAGTCTTAGAGTTAAGAAAAAGAACCTGACCTCTGTCTTTAGATGCCAGGCTGTCTCCTAGGAGTGAACCTGGGCCTTGAGCACAGATCCAGAGCTAGGGGCCCCATGAGAAGAAGAGAGCAAACATTCCAGTCCTGTTGGACCTGGCAACGAATGTTTTTTGGTTATGTTATGATCCTAGGAAGCACACTTCCCACCTTTTAGCAGAAAGGTGGAGGGCTACAGGTGTGTAATGTTGTATACATTGTCAAATCATAGTTGTGTCAGTTGATTTTGCATAGCTATTTTTCTCTGTGACAAGGGAAGGTGGGAATGCTGATGGCAGATGGATCTCTATCCTGAAATGATGGAGATCTAAGTAGAAAAAGTATCAATAAAACTTATTTTTAAACAAAATAAAATAAATCGAGTGGTCTGGAGGGAATGACCTCCGAGAGCCTTTCCATCTGGCAGACATGTTGACCTCATTTGGTTGTGGGTACGTGGGCAGAAGGGTGGGAAGCTTGTATTTTTAAAAATAAATGGGAATAATTGGTAATAACCCAGACTTATCTCTGGGCTCAGGCCCCCAGACAGAGCAGCAGAACCCCGTGTTCCTAGGCCTCAGAACCTAAGGCAAAGTAAGGTCGGGCCTAAAGCTGGCCAGAGAGCAGACTCAAGGTCAGCTCCATGGCAAGTGTCTCTGGGAGACGGCAGTGGAGGCCCACACATCTTCCTCAGCACAGTCAGGCGCCTTCCTGGGCACACAGGATCTGGGCCCCCCCATTGTCCCAGAGTGGCATGCCGTTTCTCGGGCTCTTCCTAGGGAGCAGCCCCTGGCTGACGGTCCTGGGTATCCTGTGGCCCGGCTTTCTGGCCTCCCGGAGCCCAGGCCCGTGTTGGCTCTGGGAGCTGAGATCCATCCCCCTCCAACTCTGGGAAGAGGAGTTCAAGAAGCAGCCCCCCTCTCTGTCCTCTTTTCTTCCCCTGTACACCCCCCTCCACCCCATTCCCCAATCAAACTAGCCAGCCAGGAGATGGCTTAGTGACAGCCAGCTGTCCCCACGAAGCCAGAGATGTCAAGTCACCACTCATGGGATGGATGAGAGAGAGGAGGAAGATCTCCCAAGGCTGGGCCCAATTCCAGTTTCATTCCAAAATCAGGCCAAAGAGCTCAGCTCCACCTCAGCCACAGCCCCTGCCCTGCTTCTGACTGGCTCTTTGGGCCACTGCAGTCACTGGAAGACTTTGACCTCCCTCGGCAGCCCTGGCAGGGGGTAAGAGAGGCTTCCAAAGCCAGGCTGGGACCCTCGCAGTAGAGCAAGGCAGGGGAGAGGTCCTTGACTGACGGATTACTCTGATCTCTTCTGTTCCCAGGAGAGCGGGAGAGCAGGTGAGCAAGTGAGCAGGTGAGTGGTGACCAGTGGGGGAGGGCGGGGGAGTGCCTGCAAGGATGGGAGGCTCCTGGATCTGACCTAGGAAAGAGTGGCCCATCTCCAGGCAATACTAATGGCTTCTAGGAAAGACCTTGGATTAAAGGAGGTGGTGGGGGTAGAGGGAAATGGGAAAGACCCTGGCATTGAAAGATTTGAATTTCAGACTGACCTCTGCCTCTTATGAGCTCTGTGCTCCTGACCTTGGGAAAGCCCTTGTGATTGTGTTGAGGTGCTTTGCATCTCAACAATGGGATTGGGAAAGAGAGAGGTAGTTAGACAGCCAGCCAGAAAAGCACTTATGCTGTGCCAGGCATTATTCTAAGTGGTCTCCTGGGCAGGGAGTCCCCAGTCAGGAGAGTAGGGTCTAGGGCAGGGTCTCTCTAGAGGGTCCAGGCAGGACTGACTTGGAGTTGGAGGCAGAGAAACTGGATTATATAAAGCCAGCTCAGCCACTTTTATGGCCTTTGCAAGTTGTCCTTCTCTCTGGCCTCAGTTGTCACTTTTGTAAAATGAACCTGCTAGATTAAATGACTGCTGAGGCTTCCAGGTCTAGGTCTCTCTTGCTGGTTCCCTCCATCAGCTTGTCCAATTGGCAATCACCGAATGGTCCTAAAATGCAACCTCCGTATGACCGCGGGTGCACTTTCTCATTTAAGCCAAAGTGCTAATAATATTGAAGTTGTTTAGTTTCAGTTGTGTCTGACTCTCTTTGACCCTATTTTGGGGTTTCCTTGGCAAAGATACTAAAGTAGTTTGCCATTTCCCCCTCCAGCTCATTTTACAGATGAGGAAACTGAGGCAAACAGGGTGAAGTGACTTGCTCAGGGTCACACAACTAGTAAGTGTCTGAGACTAGATTTGAACTCAGGAAAATGAGTTTTCCTGATTACAAGCCCAGCTCTCTGTGCACTATGGTGCCACCTAGCTGCAAAAGTGCTAATAATAATGACTGATATTTAGGTTTCCAAGTGTTTTACATACGTTCTTTTATTTATTTTCTCCATTTTATAATCGAGAAAGCTGAGGCAAGCTGAGATGAAGTGACTCGACCTGAGGCACTCAGCTAGCAAGGGTCTGGGGCTGGATTGGAACTCAGATCTTCCTGGCTCCCAAGCCAGCCCTCCGTCCACTGTGCCTGCTCAAGAAAGCTAAGAACAATAGAAAGAATTATGTGGGGAGCTTTTGTTTATTTCTTCCATTTTTGTATTAGCCAGTAGAGAGGAAAAGAGGAAGATTAAAAAGACACAGGACTGCTCTTTGGGATAGTTGCTGAGGACAGATAGAAGGCTGAGCTGCTTTGTTTCCGTCTTTTTCTACCAAGGAGAATGGCTTGAGGACTGAAAAGCACAGAACAAATATAGTTAATAGGACGTTGATACCTAAGATAAATAAGGGCATTATCAGAAAACACTTAGCTGACTTTCATGAATTAAACTGTACCCTCCAATTGGTGAGCCAATGTCAGGGACCTTTGAGAGAGTGTGGAGACCCAGACAGGGACCACAGGATGAGAGCAGGGCCAAAATTCTCCCAAAGCTCAAAAAAAAAAAAGAGAGAAGTGAGGAAGAGGATGGAATATGCAAATTAAATCCAAGGACATATTACTAAAGGTATGCCTAATGAACACATTGCACAGTGGTTAGAGCACTGGGTCTGGACTCAGGAAGACTTGAGTTCAAATCTGGATTTAGACACTTAGTAGTCAAGTGACCTTGGACAAATCACTTAGTCCTGTCTTCCTCAGTTTCTTCATCCGTAAAATGAGTGGAGAAGGAAATGGCAAAACAATTCAGTATCTTTGCCAAGAAAACCCTAAATGGGGTCACAAAGAGTTGGACAGGACTGAAAAAATGAGCGAACAATGAACATTTAGAAAAAGAAAACAGGAAACATAAATAAAAAAGAATCATCAAAAAAGCAAGTTGTCTCTGACTAATCTTACACAAAACTGGCAGGCCAGGGGGGTGCTGGAGCTATAGTTTACCTTGATTTTAGTAAAACATTTGACAAAGCTTCTCATGCTGTTCTTAGGGAAGAGACAGAGAGATGTGTGCTAGGTGATTACAATTAGAAGGATTTCCATCCAAATTGGGTGAATGGCTGGAGCCAAAGAGTCATCATGAGTTAATGGAGGGTTCAGTGTTAACTTAGGGGGTCTCCAGGGGACAGTTCCCCTCGATTTCATGTTGTTCGGCATTTGTATTAATGACTTGGATAAAAGCATGGAAGGCTTGCTTATTGAGTGTGTATGAAGGTGGCCCAAAGCTGGGAAAGAGGGCTAACACTCTGGACGGCAGAACTGGGATCCGAGAACTCCTTGACAGGCTGGAGCAATGGGCTGGAGCTCTTCTCCATGCCTGAATGCTCTCCCTCCGCTACTCCCACTCCTGACCTCCCTGGCTTCTTTTGGCTGTTATTGAGTCCTGTCCGACTCTCCATGACCCCCATTTAGGTTTTCTTGGCAAAGACATTGGAGTGGTTTGCCATTTCCTTCTCCAGCTCACTTTACAGTTGAAGAAACTGAGGCAAACAGGATTAAATGACTTGCTCAGGGTCACACAGCTAGGAAGTGTCTTAAGACAGAATTTGAACCCAGAAAGATGAGTCTTCCTGACTCCTTATTAGGCATTTTATGCACTATGGTGCCACCTAGCTGCCCCTGGCTTCCTCTAAGTCCCAACTAAAATCCCCCCTCTTCCTAACCCCTCTTAATTCCAGCGCCTTCCCTCTGTTAATTATTTCCTATTTTATATATATATATATATATGTATATATATATATAGTTCTGCATGTTGTTTCCTGCCTTTCCCATTAGATTATAAGCTCCTTGAGGGCAAGGGCTGTCCTTTTTGTATCCTATCCCCCAGCACTTAGCACACTGCCTGGCACATAGTAGTACTTAATAAATGTTTGCTGAATTGAATTGAAAATTTTAATAGAGGTAAATGTAAAGTCTTGCCTTGGGTTCAAAAAATCAATTTTATAAATAAAAGATGAAGAAGCTATTGATAGTTGGCAATTTGTAGGAAAAAGACTTGGGGGAGTTTTGGTGGCAGCATGAATCCTCAGGGTGACCCGGCTGGCTCCAAAACTGGTGGGATCTTGGACTACCTCAAGCTCTCTTAGAGTTATCCCTAAGGAGGTGACGGGCTCTGCCCTGAATGGCCATATTGCAATTGATCTATGAACAAGGATTTACTAGCTTGTGCTAGACACTGGGGCTACAAATACAAATGGCAAACAGTTCCTGACCTCAGGGACATTACAGTCTAGCCAAGAAAATGTATATAAAGGCATATATAAATTGTATGGCAGCTAGGTGGCACCATAGTGGATAGAGCACTGGCCCTGGAACCAGGAGGACCTGAGTTCAAATCTGACCTCAGACACTTGACACTTTACTAGCTGTATGATCCTGGGCAAGTCACTTAATTCCAATTACCTTACAGAAAAAGAAAAAAAAATCACTTTTGCAGCAGAGGGGAGCAGGGGGAGTCTTGTAGAAGGAGGGCCCGTTAGGAATCTATTACAGTAGTTCAGAAGAGAGGTGAAGAGAGGCCTGAAATGAGGTGGTAGCTGTGTGACTGGAGAGTGGGGTGCAGATAAGAGAAATGTGGAGATAGTTCTAATCTCTTCAAGTATTGTAAGGGCTATGCCTGGAAGAGGGATTGGCCTTGTCCCTAGCACATAGAAGCAGGAGCAGTGCAGGAAAGCTGCAAAGAGGCAGATTTAGGTTTGAGGTCAAAGAATACTTACTGGTGATGCTAGCTTTTCATAAATAGAAAGGGTGGCTTTGAGAGGTAGTGAGCTCCCCATCACTGGACATTTTTCTTTAAAACCTCAATAACCCCTTTTGTTGTAGAAAGGATCCTTGTTTAATATGGGCTGGATGAGACAACTTCTGAGTCACAGTTCTGTGAGTCTAAGCTTCTGTTGCCTCTTCTATGAAATACAGGGCTGCCCCTAACAGGGAGGTTATGGATTCATGAGGCCAAACAAGACGTGCATTTTCTGACGTGGTGGGAATTTGTTTTTCTTATCCATATTTATTTGTTCTGAGGGGTTCTTTTGGATAGTGGGTGGAAAAAAGTGGGAAGGCTAGCAATCATCAAAAACTAATCAACATTTATTAAGTACCTACTATGTCCCAGGCACCATGCTAAGCCCTGGGGATACAAAAAGAGGCAAAAGACAGTCCCTGCCCTCAAGGAGCTCACAATCTAATGGGGCAGCAATAGGATAGCCCCCCAAAATTTAAAAGCGGGTCATTGAAGTGCTTTTTAAAATGCACGGAAGGAGGCAGCTAGTTGGCGCAGTGGATAGAGCGCTGGCCCTGAAGTCAGGAGGACCTGAGTTCAAATCTGGCCTCAGAACAAACATGTGGCACTCACTAGCTGTGTGACCCTGGGCGAGTCACTTAACCCCAACTGCCTAAAGAAATGCACAGAAGAGAACAGAAAGAAGACCAGAAGAGAAGCAGAACAGTTTCAAGAGTGACATGCTAAATTTATCATGTTCTTAAAAGGAAAAACAAGCTGTGCGGGAAAGAGATTTGGGGTTGCATGGACAATCATCTGTCTCTGTTTAAACTAATTTTGTCATTTGTTAGGTTCAGATGTTTTTTTAAATTTATAGAGATTATTTATCTTCAAAGTTCAAAACTGTTCACTTCAGAGAAAGTTTAAAAAAAAAAAAGAAATAAAGGGATTAGACCAGAACAGGGTTGGGGAACCTGTGACCTCAAGGCCGCACAGTTCCCTCTAGGTCTTCAAGTGTGGCCCTTTGATGGAATTCAAACCTGTTTGAATTCACACACTTGAGGACCTAGAGGGCCACATGTGGTCCCAAGGCTGAAGGTTCCCAGCCCTGGACCAGATGATCTGAAGGGTCCCTTCCAGCTCTGATGTCTGCAATAGACCCTATTTTGCTATGCCACCTTTGGAGAAAAGGGGTTGCTGAATTTTATCGTTCTC